TCTGGCCATGACGTCATGCGAATTGTGCATTGTGTGAAATGTGCATTGTGTGTTGTGTGCATTGTGTGAAAATATTTGACAGCTCTGTTTTGTTTCTATTATATTATTACTCGGATTGTTAAACCTGCGACAAATGACAAGGGATTTCTTCTTATTGGGTTTTGTAATCAGTATGACATAACATCTATTAATTTTTTTTAATTACTTTCTTTGTTAATTTCTGTTGCTACGATATGTATCAAAAATACGTAATATATGTAACGTTATTATTTAAAAATATGCTTAATATAATACACTAACTGCGCAATTTATGTTACAACAGGGTGCTGAGCGTTTCTTTCTTTCAGCTTCAATCTTAATATTCATCTTGCCTCTCAAAATTTTCTTTAAAAGTAAAAGAACATTGATTGTATTCTAGTTCGAAAATATCAAAATACCGAAATACACGGCTATAGCGTGAAAATATGTTCTTGATGTTGTGTGTACTTTGTTGTATTGTTATATTATTTACTGGTTCTGTCGCCGCGCCGGTGTGAATATTTTACAATGTTTTATTTTATTAGAACGTTTTTATTCAACAGAAATTGATGATGACTCCCACAGATATGGTGGTGATTGGTTGGTGAGCATTATAACAGAGCTAGAAGTCCTACTCAAACCACTTCAGTAATGCCTGGAAAAATTTACACAACTTTGCTTTTTACCAATATATCAGTAATCACTTCAAACACGAATTCCAACTCAGAAAATATTGTAAACCACCCTATAAATATGTATTCTAATACTTTAATATTGCCTTCATTTTTTAATAGAAATTGTATTTTTCGACCTTCTCCCGATTCAACGAGATTATTGCAAATCATCATCATCATCATCATCATCATCATTACAGCCCTTCACAAGTCCACTGCTGAACATAGGCCTCCCCCAAGTAATGCCACAAAGCACGGTCCTGAGCCACCTGCATCCATCGACTTTCTGCATGTCTTACCAGGTCGTCACTCCATCTAGTGGGGGGTCGCCCTACACTACGCCTACCGGTACGAGGCTGCCACTCGAGAACCTTTCTTCCCCATCGGTTATCGGTTCTTCGAGCTATATGGCCGGCCCATTGCCACTTCAGCTTACTAATCCGTTGGGCTATGTCGGTCACTCTGGTTTTACTGCGGATATCCTCATTTCTGAGTCTATCACGCAGTGAAACTCCAAGAATAGCCCTCTCCATAGCTCGCTGAGCGACCTTGAGCGTCCTCATACGGCCAGCGGTGAAGGACCACGTCTCAGATCCATAAGTCATCACTGGCAACACGCACTGGTTATACACTTTAGTTTTCAGAGATTGAGGTATACCTGACGAGAAGATGTGTCGTAATTTCCCGAACGCTGCCCAGCCGAGTTGAATCCGTCGATTGACCTCTCGGTCGAAGTTGGACTTACCTAGTCGGACTATTTGTCCCAGGTAAACATACTCGTCAACAACTTCGAGCATAGTGCTCCCAACAACTACCGGCATAGGTGTGACATGGACATTAAACATGATCTTTGTTTTGTCCATGTTCATCTTAAGACCTATCCGTTGGGAGACACCATTGAGGCCATTGAGCATAGTTCTAAGGTCCTCCAGCGATTCTGCCATAAGGACTATATCGTCGGCAAATCGAAGGTGAGTGATGTACTCGCCATTGATGTTAATACCGTATCCTTTCCAGTCCAGTAGCTTGAAAACGTCATCCAACGCAGCGGTGAAGAGTTTCGGGGATATAACATCACCCTGTCTTACACCTCTCTGCAGTTGGATAGGTTTCGTACTCTGGTTCTGTACTCGGATAGCCATCGTAGCCCTACTGTACAAACACTTCAGCACTTCAATATACCGACAGTCAACTAGGCACCGCTGAAGAGACTGTAGCACCGCCCAAATTTCGACGGAATCAAAGGCTTTCTCATAGTCCACATACGCCAGGCAAAGTGGCAGATTGTACTCTTCGGACTTCTGTACAATTTGCCGAAGGGTATGTATGTGGTCTATGGTACTGAAGCCTTTTCGGAAACCGGCTTGTTCGGCAGGCTGGAAGTCGTCGAGTCTGCGTGCAAGACGATTCGTAATGACTCTCGAAAACAGCACGTAGACGCGGCTCAGGAGGAAAATCGGTCTGTAGTTCTTCAAGAGAGCATTGTCGCCTTTCTTAAAGAACAAGACCACCGCACTTCTGCTCCACGCCTCCGGAGTAGTGCCACCATGGAGGACGGAATTGAAGAGCTTCTGAAGGACTTCAAGTACCGGTGTTCCACCCGCTTTCAGAAGCTCCGCTGTAATTCCATCCTCGCCCGGGGTCTTGCCGTTTTTAAGGTGCTGGAGAGCCATTCTAATCTCGCTCAGACTGACGTCCGAGATATCATCGGCATAGTGTCGGGTAAGACTTGCTCTTGGATCGTTACTCACACTTGCGTGTGGTTCCAACGATGATGTGTACAGCTGCCCATAGAACCTCTCAATCTCACTCAAAATCTCAGGTGTCTCGGAAACGATGCTGCCACGCTCAGTCTTCAGCTTTGACAGTTGGCTCTTTCTGGCAGACAGATCTCTGGCAAAGACTTTGGAGCCCTGGTTCCGCACGATCGCTTCTTTAATACGAGCAGTATTAAAGTTGCGTAAGTCTCGCCGCATGCATTTGGAGATCTGTCTGTTCAGTTGCCTGTATGCTGTCAAATCTGTTGACGATTGCAGCCTCATCTCCCGTCTAACAGCTATGAGATTAAGAGTGTGATCGGAGAGTTTTTGTGTTCTTCTGCGGCGGGTCTTGCAGAACTTAGCTCCGACCGCATGGACAGTTTCCACGAGCTTGTCATTCATATCGTCCACTGCATTGCAATCCTCTAGGCACTGAAAGTGGTTTTGTAACTCGAGCTGAAAGGTTTCGGGATTCTGGATTAGAGCACGAGGGGGACGGAGCGTTGACTTCATTAGACGAGACCTCTCCAACTTAACATTTAGGTTCAGTGTGCCTCTAACCATTCGGTGATCGCTGCCAGTTTTCACCCTTGCGATCACTGAGACATTACTGAACAGTTGGCGTCTGGTCGTCATAATGAAGTCAATCTCATTTTTTGTCGAACCGTCGGGGCTCGACCAGGTCCACTTCCTGTGGGGCCGCTTCTGGAAGAAAGAGTTCATCATAAAGAGTCCCTCTTTCTCCATAAAGTCGGCCAGCTGCTGGCCCCTTCGGTTCCATTGCCCTACTCCAAATTTCCCCACCCTCAGCTCACCGCTTTCTCTTGTGCCTAGTTTTGCGTTGAAGTCTCCCATCAACACCGTGTAGTGGGTTTTGGAGGAATGCATGGCTCTGGAAATATCCTCATACATTTCCTTCACCTCCTCATCGCGATGTGCCGAGGTTGGTGCGTAAACCTGTATGACCTTCAGCGAATACCGTTTGGTGATTCTGAGTATCAGGTACGCGACCCTCGTCTACACACTCCAATCTTTACAACGTTGTTGACGAGAGACTTGTGGATGATAAATCCGACACCTCCTTGGGACAGATGGTCGCCCTCCCGGTGGTAGAACAAGTTGCCGGACTCGAGGATTGCCGTATCCTCCCCCTCTCTTCGGACCTCGGATAATCCAATAATATGCCAGCGCAACTTGTCTACCTCTTCTTCCAGCTCCAGTATCTTCTCGTCAGTCCTGAGAGTGCGTGCGTTATATGTTGCCAGGTCGAGTCGTCGTAGGTGGCAACCGAACCTCCACCGGAGATTCTTAGTACCCCCTGCCCCGCCGTTACCATGGTCGCCACCGTAGCCAGGAATAGCGGGGACTGGGGGCCGTTTTTTGCGTCGTTATTCATGGGGGGATATTTGCCATAGTTGCCACGCTTGGCGAGCGGGTTGGCAACCGCAGTTTTTTATTATAACACAGTTGTTATCAGAAAGATGCTGCTGCCCATCTCCTGCCTGTCTCCCTCTGTCGCTTCTTACGACACCCACGGGAAGATATGGGGTAGTGGATATTCTCAACCGCCACTACACGGATTATTGCAAATATCATCAGGAAATCATCACTTACTAAGTTTAAACAACGATTCCTGCCGTGCTGAAAAGGGTTTCTAAAGTTACGAAACTCCATTAGTAAATTACTTTTCTCCTATAAGTTCTCCTTCAACATCTTATCCATCGGCAATTACAGATTCTTCTTCAACATTTGTAGCAGATGCTATCTACCCGAATTATGAAATGATAATTTCAACTGATACTTCAACTGTAATACCGGGTCCGGCAATTGAACTGTCCGTCTCATTCTAACTGTTAAAATTCGAACCATTGAATCGATCGCCGCCAAAATTTAAAATGTTCTTTGACATATTTTCTTTCCTGGTTTTATGTGATTTTGTTGTGAGATAAAAGATTCTTAATTTAAAACGATGGTTTTGAAACGTAATTCAGTGATTGCTCTGTATTTGGAAGGAAAATCGAACATCGAAATTCGTCGAGCGCTGCCAAATCTTAAACTAAATGAGAAATTTGTACATCGCACTATCAAACGATATTCTGAGACTGGTAGCATTAAGAAACGCTATGGTGGAGGACGGTGTTGTACTGCAACGGCACCAGCAGTCGTCGAAAAGGTACGTCACCGATTGGACAGAAATCCAGCGCGCTCAGCAAATCAGCTCGCGCAGGATCTAAACGTGAGCGATCGTAGTGTTCGTCGTATATTGAAAGAAAAGCTTAAGGTCAAACCATTGAAAAAAAAACATTGCTCAGGAACTCACAACTTTGCAACGTAGTAAACGGTTAGAGCTTGCTCGACTCTGGCGAGCTTCCCAATTTGGTGTTTTCGGATGAGAAAAATTTCTGCATTGAGCAGTTTCTTAACAAAGAAAATGACCGTGTATGGTTGAAGGGACGTGTCAGCGACCACTCGACGTCAAGGAACCGATCAAATCATGGTCTGGGCGGCGGTGTCCGAAAAAGGCCGTTCACCGCTCGTTTTTCTCCCAATGGGTCGCAACCAAGTCAAAATATATCAGCAAATCTATCAAGACAAAGACTTAATACCTGGGCTGATACCGTGGGCACGTAACACGTTCGGTTCTGAGCGTTGGACTTTCCAGCAAGACTCAGCACCATCGCACAGAGCAATTGGAACGCAAAATTGGTTGAAAGCGAACGTTCCAGTGCTGATCGACCGAGATATATGACCGTCGTCATCACCCGACTTGAATTTGGGGTGTTTTACAGGCCAAGGCTTGTGCTACAAAACACACGTCGGTGGAAGCGCTCAAAGCGACTTACGCGAGAATGGAATTGTTTAAGTGATGACGTCGTTCGAGCAGCGTGCGCTTCGTTCAGGAAGAAAGGAGATACGATTTTGAAGATATTGATGAGATTGCCAAAAAAAAAGATAATTTTAGATATGACTGTCAACGCAACGGATTCATTCGAAGAGGAATCCGGTAAGTCCATATACGTAGTAAATATATCTTTTTTATTTTTACGCTTTAATTACGCCTTGTAAAATCATGACTTAGTGGTCAAATTTCTTGACTACTCTAGGTTTATCAAAATACACTTTAGCTCTCCACATATCTCTGATAATGTATTTCATCCCAGTCCAGAGTCGTATGTTAAGTAAACCTCTGTGTACATTTGCACAGATTAAAAGCACAAATTGTAAGTTAGGTCTGGTTAAGATGTGATTATTCCCGAGTTTCTAACGCTGCATCCGACCTCTCCGATACCTCTTATTATATTGCGATAGAATTATATCTATATCATATAATCGGCTAGAACGAGAGAGTTAAAATATCGCCTGTGCGATTAATAGCTTTCAATTATTCTATATTTCTCAAACCAAAAGACGTCATCATATTACACTAAATTTATTTTTAAATTGTTTCAGTTTTCTGTGCCAAATATCTGGATAACGATGAGTTGACAGATTCTGCTTTAGAACAAGAACTAAATTCTGCTTTTCCAGAATTGACGGTAAGTTTAATTCCTATTTTTTTTCATATACGTGTATACATTAAACATCGATAAAAGCAGGTTACTACAAACTCTTTAAAAATTAACCAAATACAGTTTTACATACATTATTATAATGTATGTAAAACTCTTGATTATATTTTATTCGAAATTTCCGAAGAACAATGTTTTAGGGGATAACATATACCAACATATACCTTAAAATATTGTTTACAGGTATATGTTGTAAGTTGAAATCAAACTAAATCTTTAAGAATCTATTTGAATATTTAAATGGTAGGTTTATGGTCCATTCGGCGAAAGTTGATGTAGAATTGAGTACCTGAAAGCATTGTTTTCAGGTATTTGTTGCACAAAATGTGGATAATAATTTATGTACCATTTGTAATCTTTTCCAGCCTAAATGGATTGATCAGATATAGAAGTTCATAATGCCGTTAAATATAAATTCATCTACGGAATCGTGGACTACTTTAAACATTGAGATCACAGTTGTAATATTTTAATGTCTAATATTTTGAGATACAGATAACCTAATTACCTTTATTACTTTAAAGTTTTAGGACACATTAATGATTCTGTTTTTGAATTTTAGTTAAATTTGATCAAAATTTCGTTTCAAACAACTAAATTACAATAAGACGTCTCCTTTAACTATTTCCGAATGAGCTAGCAGTCAACCTGATACTTGTGATTGACTACTGGAACCGGTGAACATGAGAAATAAACTGAGAAACGGAGCACCATAGCACAATAAAACTTCTTAATGTCTGTTCGGCATAAAGTACCGCTCTCAAATTATTATTGCTGACAGATGGCCACGGCTCGTCCATTCGGCCTCACGTTTGACAACAGCTGCAAGCTTCGCTATCGAGATACTTCCACTGTAGTACCACAAATCTACCAAAATTTGACTGACACCTTGATCTAGTGGTTGTAGTAGTGCGACTGCTGATCATGAGATCCTGGGTTCGAATCCCGGATCGGGCCAAGAAATCAATTATTTAGTTTTTCCGTCAAGAAATTCTCAGTAGCTGTCCGGAGTCAGGAAGTTGGTGGTTTCTCACCTACGTGCCTCGGAATGCATTTAAAACCGTTGGACCTGAGCCTGATCTCTCTCCGGTCGTGTTAGTTTACCGTCCCATCGGATTATGAGAGTTGGGCACTATAATCCTGTCCTGCGCCGATGGCTAGTCTCCGTTGAGGCAAGCTACAAGAAATTCGGCCTGGAGGACATTATTATTATTACTATTATCACAAAACTTTGTTCTTGCGACGATAAACGACGTCTGAATTAAGTGACATTCGCTATTACTCAACATTTTCATAATAATTATCAACTCTCGCCGAATATAATTGTACTGTTTAAATATTCGAATCGATTATTAAAAAGTCAATTAATTCCAACTTACACATCATTACTTTCCTACGAATGGCTTAAGGCACTAAGAAATGGAACGCAACGATGTGTGAAAGGAACGATTAATACTGGAGAGAGGGGAAAGATAGAGGAGAGACAAGATAGAGTTTTCTTTGAAAAGTATTAAACGTGCGCTCAAAGTAAATAAATAATTTGTGTAATGATTTGTTATTTTTAATGTGGAGAAAAGAGAAAAAGATAGCTGTACACGATGAACGAGAAGTGAATAGAGCTAGAAAGTAGATAAGAGTTGGCGAGCTGCAAGAAGCGAGTGTGCAGTTCCAATAGTTTAGTTGCTGGTCTATAAGCGAATTCACTCAAATCCGCACTGTAGTGTAAAATGGCCGCTGGTTGGCGTTAGTTCTGACCGCTAAGCGAGCATCGCGGAGCGAGTTTATCTTTGATAGCGCTTGTTGCTGTGACCAACTAGTGAAGAGAGAGTTCTCGCCCCCTTTAGGGGTATATATGTTCTGGGGTTCTCGCTGGCAGTGTGAACGGGCAGCGATCAACTGTTAATATATGTATCTACTTTATTGACACGGGATCTATATCTACTGTTTGTTTCTTTAGCAGGAAAATAGTTGATACCTAATCACTTTCTCGTTGCCGGTGGAAGAAGTGCCTAAGGAAGTTTGCATTGTAGTTTGTAACAATGAATATATTGTTTTAAGCGACAGTTAAAGAGATATTTTTCCAAAATCTTAAATATGATCTTATAAATAAACAAACGCCTATTAAATTATAATAAAATAATTAATTTAATTAATATTAAATAATTACATTATAAGTAAACGCCATTGAAATTTAGAAATATCCTTCAATTGATGTATTATTATTTATATTATTAATAAGAGAATGCATCATTGCATTTCTTCTCGTGGATCCATAAAAGGCATAATCTCGTAATAGGCGGATGCAGGAAATGCTAAAAAATTCTCATCACTCGTTAACTCTTGACGTAAGATGGCCAGGACAGCAAGGTGCAACAAAGCAGAAGGTGCTAGACATCTGGTATCGTCCGTATGCCTGCCAAGCGAGACCAATAGGGCTCATTTTTCTTGCAACTTATTCAGGCTGATGAAGAAAGAGGAAAATGTTCATTAATATTTTTAAATAATGTTTTCCCGTCTCTTTTTTTGTAGCCATATAAGGAGAAAAAAGGAGAGAAGTTAGGCGAACTACGTAAGAAGAGAACTTATCAAGAACTGAATTTTTTATCGTTTTTTAATCAATTATAAGAAAATGGAAAGTTTTCCCGAGGTGAATTGTTATTTCTGACATACAATTTGTTTAACTATTTTCTTGTCAACAGATGTCGTTGTACTAACAGATTATCTGTCTTTCATAATCCTTTTGAATTCCAAGATTAACTATTTGCTTATCACCAGATGTCGTTGTACTAATCGATTAACTGTATTTATTTCATAATTTCTTTGTTTGTTCATGTATAACTATTTAACTTGTCACTAGATGTCATCATAGTAAAAATGAAATAACTGAATCTCGATGTTAAGATTATTTGTAATATTATAAGTTGCAAA